GTTAACCAAACTAATTAGAGTGAGGTATTTCATTTCTAGGATCCCATTACATTAAGTGGAATTGGGAGGTGCCCTTTCATGGATTATACCATGTTCCACGCAAAATCAATTGAATGCATTAGAAAAGTTCTATTCGCCACCATCATACCAAATCCTTTTGATCATTCTTTCGAGTTAATTTACAACTTCGCCTTTATAGATTTTGGATTAATCTAGACCCTCATCTTTAATTTTTAGAAGATACACATAACAACATCGATTGGAATCATTAATGAAAGTTAGAAAGTATTTCTTTCCTATTTTGTCAAAACACAATTCATCTCACACAGATATAACTGATATAAAAGTGGCATAAACATGAGAAAATTTATGGATGCGCCGGAGATGTATCAACATCCCCAAGCTTAATCCCTATTCATCCACAAGCAGGTAGATAGTATTCTTTGTTGTCAATGCTACCTCATCCTGAACATGATTATCGGATGTAGTTCCATAAAATTTTAAATTAAGAATAGTGATGTAGAGAAATTGACTATAATTGATAATTAGCAAACAAAAAACAAACATATAAATAAACTTTCTCAATTTCACTATAAATCAATGCATAATGTTAATGTTCTTCCTGCCAAAGGTTAAGAAAGAATATCAATATTATATTGGGAACTTAGCTTTGGCTGTTGTATTCCCCAACGTCTTATAATATTTTATATAAACCAACTCAAATCCAACCAAGCAAAGGAACTACATGGACTTCTGCACAAAATTCAAACCAAACTCAAGACAAAGATCAAAAGCGCTCAGCTCCCTGGCAACGGCGCCAGAAAAAGTTTGATAGACTGCAAGTGCACTTGATTTAGTTGTAGCCTTTTTGAAGCAAGAGTATCGATCCCACACAGAGCATATGAATCAATCTTTTGTCTCTTGGATGGTGAAAATATTATGCCCGCAAGTTATAGGTAACCCAAAGTAGTAGTAATATAATAGAAATGGGGTATTAACATAAAAGTAAATATTGCAATGAAAGTAAATAGTGAGAGATGCAAATGCGAGTCTTGAAACAAATTGGACTAAAGAGTTCCCTAGAGTCCGGAGTTCCCTCTAGTGTGCGCATCTATAGTGGTACCTAAACACGATGCTACATCAAATTCCTACGCCACTTTGCTTATTTGTATTCATGGGCAGAGCGAGTACAGACACGTCCATATACTCGGCAACCCCGTATCACATATGCCTTCACCGTGCTTCCCCACTCCGGTTATCAAACAATGATTAAGGGGAAAAAGGTCCCCGTGGACGCAGCCTATAGGTGGTCTTTGTTTTACACCCTGCTGCAACGACCCAGGACGAAAGGAGATGGGGCCTGTCACGTCACCCACCACTGCAACAAACCATTCCGCCATCAGTAATAACCTTCCGTCCAAAATTGACATACATTGGATGGTCGACTTCACCCAATGTCAAGAAGATCACTAACATAAACATGCAAAGAGGATAAATCCTAATATCAAACGATCTATTAAACACTAGGGTTCATCCATATCCCCGAGAACCAGGGGAACTACTCACTCATGAAGGCGAAACATCATAACATGGTTGATGGAGAACATGAATGAATCACAAATGTAACACACAAGTTGTCCCTTTTAGGGTTGTTGAGATTACAATGAATAGGGTGTGGATGATGATGATGATGACAGTGGTGATGATGTTGAAGCCTTCCTGGTGATGGTAGTGGAGGCGGCCACCTCCTCCTTGTCGATTCCTCCCTCCAGATTGCTTTGCATGCTAGGGTTCCTCCTTTTGGATGAGTTTCTGGTCTCTATATTCGTACCATCCCCGATCCGAATTCACGGGATGGAAATAGTTGATCCGGCGATGGCGTAGGCACTCCATACGACTGCTCATACGGGCGGGCGCGGTCATATGGAACACCGTCTTTTGCCCTGGAAGCGCGGCGCGATTTATTCTTTGGCCTTCCTGCTTGACTCTTTTATGGCAGGTGATTATCACACTAAATGCGTGATTTCACTACCGTTTCTGGGATTTCTTCCAAAAAATTGATCCAAAAACATGTAACCTAGGAAAAACGACAAAAAGAAATGCGCGAACGCGATGAAATTCCACAAGGCCCATAGAGTAGGCACACAAAAATACTAGCAAAATAATCATGTAATTTGGACTCATCACCTTGCTGGCACAGACACCCAATGCCATCAATATAGCGTCATTGTTAAAAAAATAGTGGTGGGGTTGGACCCCACGTCACCAGTATTCTACGTGTTGATGGTATGCCATGTGGACAAAGACACCACTATAATCACTCACCTAGTAACGTGTGATGTTCTTTGCACGCCACAAACGTTTCGTGCAGTCAATTTTTCCCCACCATATAACATTTAGCATTTCACATTAAAACTAAGCACATATAAAAAATTACACAATAGAACAATACTAGTTAATAGAATAATACTAGTTAATAAGTGACAATCTCACAAACAATACTTGCTAGCTAATTAATAAATGACAATGTTCTCACAAACACGACCTAACTAATAGTTAATAAGCAGTTCATTTAACAGCGGTGGCCCAACCACACACATACTTTTAAATGAGGTCGATGATCATTATCATCCTCCAGTCAACACGTGGGGTGTTTTTGATAGTTGTCCAACCCGGAGATTCTTGCCAGCAAGGAAGTTGTTCCACCCCGCCGTGTTTAAGATAGTGCGACCGTTCGTGTCCACTGTGTATGCACGAGTGGTGATGGAGCCCCTTGTGGTAAGACATAGTTCAACAATGTCAGCTTCATCCGGCTCGATGTCACAGCTCACTGTTAGCCTCCTAGGTAATTTCTAAAAAAAATATACATATATGATAAATGAGCATGTCACGCGCAATTATCAACAAAGCATACACTTAAATTCACATATATCATCAAATTCAACACTAAGCATATCATCAAATTTTACACTAAGCATATCAACAAACTACTGCACTAAGCATATATATCATCAAATTACTACACTAAGCATATTATTTCTGAAAAAATACATATGTCATGTGCAATTATCAACAAAGCATGCATACACTTCAATTCACATATATCATCAGATTCAACATTAAGCATGTCATCAGATTCAACATTAAGCAAACGGTGTACATAACAAGCTCAAGTTTGGAGAGACACCCAGAGATGATTTAGCTGTGCACTAGCTAGCAAAAAAATAATTCTTCCAACATGGCATATAACATTGTCTCAAACTCAAGCTCGATTCACGTGACGTGACGAGATATGATATGACCCGTGTGCATTGTGTGGCATGAAGTGGGGGTGGGGGCGGGGGCGGGGGTTGAGTGAGAACGAGCGGGCGCGTAGTTGCACTATTTTCTCATGCTACAGGGGAGTAGTATATCTCCTAACCTTATATATCGGTGCTAATGTTTCTCAAGAAGTAGTACAAGACTAAACTTACACACTTGCCATGCAACTTAAATGGGCCTTTGTCATTTCAGAATTTTGTTGGGCTGATGTACAAGACTTACTAGGCCGAGACCCATAATATCTAACAATGTACGCATACTGACTAACTAACTAACATGAGTAGTCCTTTACCACCATAATAGGTATACCTCATGCAAAATAGTTCATCAAAACCTATTTAATTGTACCTAAATTTAAAGATACGACACGAGAAACATTATGATGAAACAAATTTGTAATTTGGACCGTCGATATATTTAGTTTGGAATTTTAACATTGAAAAGGAATCTGCACGTACTCCGTACAACAGCCCACCCATGCCGATCATGGCAGAAATCCCACTAAATCGCTTTTCTTTCTCCTGAAGAAAGAAAAAGACGATCTAGCTTCTTCCGCCAAAGGACTCGCTTCTGTCGCCGGCCTCAGACGGCTCCCCTCCGCCGGCGGCTTCGATCGTTGGTAGTGAGGGGGGTCGCCGGATCCACGCATGTGGATCGTTTTTTAGGCTCTCGTAGTTTAGGTTTTTAGTTTGTTCATCGTTTTTGCTTCGGCGGTGACGATGGTGGCGTTGAATGAAGTTTCTTCAGATCCTACCCCGACGAGGCGATCGGTCCTGTCCTTGGGGATGGATTTGGAAATCAGTTTGTTCAAGTAAGGATTGCGTGGTGACGGCGACATCCTCGTGGTGGACCTGTGTCCTCGGGCTCCGCTGTTGCGACGGCCTTTGCTCCAGCGCCGATGCGGAGCTTGGAGGTAGTCCAGGAGCGGATGCAGATTGTGGTCTGCATCGGCGGCATCTGAAAGATGGTGGATCGTGTTCTGATTTTGTGGTTCGTGGATGGTAGGTATGGTTTTCTCCTCCGGCATCTTAGTCATGTGGGGATGCCAGATCTGGAGTTCGATGGCGTGTTCGGGGTGTTGCCCCGGTCTGATTCGTTCAACGGTAATGGTTTCGCTTTTGGTGAACCACCTTGGAGGTCCGCAAAGCTACATATCAGCGATGGAGCCGCTTCGAGCTCGGGTGTGAAGGTGATCCGTCATTGTTTCCTTTGGTGGATGGTATGGTGGTCCTGAAGGCCTGTGACGGGCGTTGGTGTCAAGTTCAAAGGTTTCTTCGGTCTTGATTGTAATTTTACTTCTTGGTTGTTGTTCCTTTGTGCAAAGGCTAGCGTTTTGCTGTCTTTTCAGTTTTGCCAGGTCGGTTTGTACGTGACTTGTATTATGATCCTTATGATATAAATGAGACATGTATTACCACGCAAAAAAAGAAATCCCACTAAATCAGCCTATGGCGCCACGCCGGGCTAACCCATGTGGTGCCATTTTACTAGTGATTATGATTAATAACTACAATTGTTGTGGTGTTATTAGATGATGACATTAGTAGTACTGAGGTGGATTCATAGGCCTCTCTTGTCATGATATGGTGAACATGATACACTGTAGGTAGAAGTCATTAGTGCATCGTTTGCAACACTTTAACATCATCAGTAACTCATGGATTTTGACGGGCTTCTTCTCATTTGAGATGGTGGAGTGCAAACTTTATCATCTCCTTGATTGTCTGAGCACCATCCACCCCTTCCGTCTGAAAAATAGAACTAAATTTTATCAATAAAATTAAGGGAAAAAATATGTAGCAATGTCTGCATATGTGTCTTTTGATGCTACCACACCTTTCAACGGGATTTTTCACTAAAGCACATGCATGCATACAGGAATCTTTCATCTAAAGTTGATGTTATCACACTACTTGCATTTTTGAACTTTTATAATGATTTATCTCACAAATCCCTAATCCGATTAGCGATCCTTCTACACCACTGGGTTTGTCTCCACAAGGGCTTCGAAATAAGATCTGATGTTGACATTCTTCAATGATTTTTTTCATTGCCATCAGTTGTTAGATTATGTCACCCCAGTTGCCATCTTTAACCGTGAACAGTTTCCATGATGATTGTATATAGTTACCGAGCAATACTTTCATACGTTTTTGGACACTGCAATGTTATGCATAGCTAAAGAGTGAGTATTCAACGATTAACAATAAGTAGGAAGAGGCATGAACTAACATAAGCATCATGAAGCAAAAGCTTTTAGACTTGTATATCGACTTCCCGAAATCTAAAAACTAAGTTAATTTCAATTTGACAACAAGGTAGCTAATAAAGATAACTAAGTGACACTAATCTGGCAAGTACCGGCAAGAAAAATGTTGAAACATCTTGGTATGGGATCTAGTTTTGAAGATTTCACCACCGGAATGCTAGTGAAAGCGAATCATTAATCGGGTCAATGATTTAAGAGGTAAAGATTTTTTTGAAATTCAATTTAGGGAAATGGTTTATTGATATCATGATTTTGTATGTATGCATACATGCATGAGAGATATGAGGAATTAATGTCACACTGAAAGCCCAATATGCGGCGTTACTACCTAGTGCGCTCCTACACTGGAATTATACTCTCTTTTTTGCGGGATATAGTTCTACTCTTACTCACCAAAAACTATTGATCTGATGAAGGCAGCCTAGAACTGAACGGAACACCCGCATCCCCCGTGCCGCCTCCTGCGACATGAGGAAACACTCATCACAGCCACCGCTAGGGTGCTCCTTTCTTTTCCCAACACAATGCCGCCACTAGAGGGCTCACATGCAAAGTGTCGGACGACTCAAGGAAGTTGGTGAGGGGGCGCGTCGTCCCTGTGGCTTTTGTTGCGTGGATGCAGCAACTTCCTAGTGGTGCTGGGCCGGCAGCTCCAGTATGGAAGCCTCATTTTATGGTGGCGACAACAATCCCAGTGCACGTGGCGGCTTCCCTATTTGGCAATGCGGCCTTGGTTCTTGTCGACCTAGATCGGGAGGCACGACATCGATCTAGCAGATGTCCGCTCCTGATCTAGTGGCGACTACGCTCCACGCGGGCGATATTGATGTGCCATTCATGCTCCGGATCCAGCCATATCGACCCCTAGGACGACAGGTGTGTGAAGGGCTCTCTCTAGTGAGGTGGTAGTCGGCGGTGTTGTGCTTCGCCATTGTTGTTGGTCCTTATGGTAACCACACCGGCGTGCAACGGTGGACTCATGACGCAATGTGGTGCCCATCGAAAGGTATTTGTGAGGTTCCTCTCTCCAGACTCGGTGGCTGGCTTTGGCGGGAAGATGCAAACTATGGACGATACCTTGGCGCAGAGGGATGGTTGTGTAGCGGCAACAGTCCACATCGCATGCAGCTCCTAGGATCACAAAAAAGTGATGACTACAACATATAAGTGACGTCGGCTTGAGTTCTGAGGTGAAAACCTAGGCCTGACCCATGTTGGTTATATCTAGCAATTCCGATATTTTTGTGTCCTTACCTTGCTAAAGGCATTGCTCGGATATGATTAGACTGGTTCTTTAGGGTGAAAATGTATATTCTAGCCTTGGGTAGTTGGGTCTAGTGTTGGCGGCGCATGAGCGCCGATCCCTTTCTGAAGGCACTGCTGTTAAGAACCTTGTCATTCATGTGGTGTCATGAAATGGTCGTTGCGGCTATGGTCATTGATGTAGTTTATCGATCGCGAATCTGATCGCTTTGAGTTTTCTTTTCTTCCTCACCTACGCATAATGTTGGTCTTATACGACTTTACTATTTGTCGATGTATTTATGTGTGCGCGCATGGGTGTTGGTTGTGTACATCCTAACCATGCAAAGATCGGATGTGTGTGTTTTGTGTTTGTATCATCCTGATGCTCCATTTTAAGAAAATAAATTTCACCCTCAGAAAAACAATTGATCATCAAGGTGGCACAAACATACAAAGAAGACCCAAGACACTTTGTGAGGATGTAATGTGGGTCAACTATTAATAAAGTAGTATACATTTTCAAACTTACTATTGTACATGCCAGCTATGAGTTTGGCGCTAGATGACATGGCAACTCCTTATAATCGATCGTATTATTAACCATGATCGAAGGAATGCATAGATGGGAGAGTTTGACTATGATGGAGATGGTGCATACGAAGATGATTGTTACAGAGGGTCTTCGTCGTTCGGCGGCGCCGAATAATAGTGACAGAATCACCCTGGCAACCAGGGTTACATTCGCGACGATGAGCAATACATACCAAGGTTCGAGGAGTAGTATGCACATGCCTAAGGCTAGTCATAGTGGGAGTAACTTAGCTAGTAACATAGCGCATTTCAATTTTTTTTGCTTATGTGGCAAGTATTTAATGTGAGGTGGTAACATAATATGTTACTGTAACATAGCGCTTCCCAAGACAAGATGAGTCTACAAGCTAATAAATTAAGTCATCTATGACAATACTATCATGTTACTTTGCATTATGAAGGTAGTAACTTAGACTAGTGTCATGCATATGACACTAATCGCATGACACTAGTCTAAGTTACTCCCCACTATGACCAGCCTAAGTCAGTGGTGACGACATATTGTACTTGCAATTTGAGACTTCTGTTTTTTGAGACAGTGTGTCAACTCGAGCCGTCCACACATTGAAAACGCAAGGACAGATATACATACCAAGGTTCGAGGAATAGTGTGTTTCTTTATGTCGAAGGATCAAGTGGTGGTGTAGCTTCAGAGGATTATTGCGGAGGATTTTCATTGCACATTTTATGAGGTAGCACTACATCAGGCTGCTTGTAATGGATAGTATCATAACTTAGTATCATGCACATGATACTAAGGTATGATACTACCTCCGTAATGCACAGTATCATATAGTAATATCATAGGTAACCTTATTTATTATCATGCATGACACATAGTATCATAGCATTTATTATGATACGGTATCATGATATGATACTCAACACTCTCTTTTTCATTTAATTATATGCCACCTCAGCAAAATAGTCTAGTTGGCATGCATGAAACTTCCTCCGTTCCTAAATATTTGTCTTTTTAGGATTTCAAATGGACTACCACATACGGATGTATATAGACACATTTTAAAGTGTAGATTCATTCATTTTGCTCCGTATGTAGTCACTTGTTGAAATCTCTAGAAAGACAAATATTTAGGAACGGATAAAGTACTAGCTATGATACTACCATTACGACCAGCCTGATAGAACGTCGATCCTCTTAATTTCCTTATGAGGTACTTCCTCCATTTCATAATTTAGTATGCCCATATTTTTTACGATTTAAGTTTAACCACAAATTAACCAACATGGGCGACAGCGACGGAAGCAAAAATTATATCATTGAATACGTATTTGCAAGAAATTCTCAACGGTATAAATTTTGCTCCCGCCGCAGTTTTTCATGTTGATTAAATTTGTGATCAAACTTAAATCTCAAAAAAGCATAAACACACTACATTATGGAATGAAAGCTGTAGTACCCAGTTCGTAATAATCTAGAAAGGGAACCCAGCGTATGCTTTTTATGAACGAGCCACGTCACATATGACGTCATTTGTGTGACGTCATCAAAGGTGATATCATCAAAGGAATTCCAAGCAAAGGGGACGGACCGGAAGCAAATCTTTTTCGTTGGAGAAATCATGATAGAGCGAGAGGAGCAACTGATTGGGCGGGAAAGAGAGCGAATCGATGGATGGTTACCTCGACGAACATGGTGTGGACCATGCTGCCGGCCACGGTGGTGACGCTCGCCGTGATGACCTTGAGACAGAGCGACTGCAGCGCCCCGCACACCTTGACCATGGCGTCCCGCGGCTTGCCGTGCCTCAGGCTCACCACCGACAGCTTCTCCGCTACATTCGTCACCTCCAGCTGCACAAACCGTAACCGCTCAGTCATTCCATCGATTGCACTACGTCTTTGCAATTGCAATTGCATGGTCTCGTTTCATAACGTTGCCCCGAAGGTTGACATTTACCTCGAGGATTTCGACCGCATACGTGGCAGGGGAAGTGATGGCGTCGTTGATGGAGGAGGCGGAGCTAGTCCTCCTCATCTTCTTCCGCCGTGGCAGGCCCACGCCTTCTTCCTCCGCCTGGCTCCCGACGGAGGCGACGTTCTCCGCCTGCCGCTCCTGCTCCTGCAGCGCCTCGATGTACGCGATGGCGTCCTGGATGATGGACGCCTTGTCCATCTAACGTCGCCGCACAAACCCAATCAAATTAACTGTATAAACATATAAGTCCTCTTCTTGTAGTGATCTGTAAATTGATGAAGCGCACGCAGGCTCACCTTGGTGATGTTTGGAACGACGCCGCGGAGGTTGTAAAGCTTCTCGTTGAGCCTCCTGCGACGGTCCCTCTCCATGATTATGTTCTTGCTCGCGCGGGTTGCCCTCGTCATGGCCATCGACCACGAGCTGGCGCCGTCCGGCGAGCTCGAGTCGTCGTAGCACGAGTACAGACCGGACAGCGAGTCCTCAGCCGGCAAGTACATACTAGAACAATCAACAAGGCTAATCCAACGGTTAGTAGGCACCAAAGGAAGGAACAATCACCGGCCATGGATTGCCCCATGAACAAGCAGAGCGGCGCACTTGAATGTGCAGGCTCACCTGTCGATGACGCCGAGCTCCAGTACCTGGGCCTCGAAGAAGTTAGGCGTCTCCCAAGAGAAATCGAAGCTCATGTCCATGTCGGCCTCCATTGCAACGAGACAACGAGTCGATCTGCTCGCACAGATGGTTGTTGGCCTCTCTCTCTCCCCGCGTGCTGTACACACGCTTGTTTTTGGCGAGGGGTTTTGTTCTGCCAGGGGTACTTGATGCTTCACTTGCTACTCGCTAGTCAGCACCCAGAGGCTTTATACAGAAGCATGGAATAGTAGCAGGATGCGATCAGGATGTGACTGCGTGTGGATAGCGTGAATTCGTTAGCACAAGTGGCAGCGTATGGACGATGGTAGATCTGCGTCGCTGGGTGGCGGGGGCCGACGTGCGAGCGAGACAACCCTACCTGATGTCACCTGGCGCCTTCTCGGCCTAGACATCGTGCGTGCCGTACAGCCATTGGCTGGTTTACCATTCTCGGTTTGCGTCCCATTCGAGATCGAATCTGTGCCTGTGCGCTGCTGTCCCCTTCATGTCAACGTATGGGCCCATCAACTTTGGCGCCTCGCGTGTGCTCCGTCACGCCATGTACAAGAGCATCTCTAGCAAACCTAAGACCCACAAAATAACAGCTAAAATGCGGGTAGGCGCTTAAAATTCCGCCAGAACAGACCTTATAAACGCGGTCGTCCGTAAAAAAATTTAAGGGGCGCGGCAAAATCTTGACCTCAACCCGCGAATACGCGGGATCCCCCCCCTCCCCCGGGTCGGTGCCCTGCATATAGCGGGAGCGGTTGGTGGGAGGGACATTTCAGCCCACGCTTTTTCCCACCTACCACCTCCCCTCTCCCCCTCGCTTCGCCGCCGGGCCGCCGCCCACGATTTCAGCGAAAGTAGCCGGGGGATCACGCCGAAGGCCGCCACACGCACAAGGTTGCTCTCCGCCCTCCCTTCTGCGTCGGCGGGTCGGAAAGTTGCAGATCTGCGGCCCTTCGTCGCGGGCGGCCGGATTTGGCTTTTCCGGCCGCCGGTGGCTGCACCAAGCGATGGAATGGTCGGGGAGCACCTCGTGCAGCCCCGACAAAGTCCCATCGCCGCATGCAGGTACGGGTGCGTCCTGTCGCCGCCGCCGCCGGTTTGCGTGCGTGGATTTGGTCGGCCGTCCGCCGGGCTCGGCGCTCGCGCAGCGGTTTTGCGGCTTGCCGATGCCGCTCATACAGTGCGACGACTGCACGCGGACAGTGCTGCGGCTAACTTCGGGCACGCCGAAGCACCCCAGATGGGTGTTCTTCAAATGTGAAAACGGCGGGGTACGTGTTCTTTTTATTCGGCTTTGGCATCAACATTCTTTGGTTCATTTGTGATAGCTCATTTTGAACATCATCATGTGTGTAGGAAGATGGATGCTCATTTTGGTTTTGGGAAGGAGAATACATTGATTTATTGATAGAAAGAAACTTAATAGACGTTCGTGCATTCCTTAGTATGATCGAAGGTAATGAAGTGGCTGCATGTGCAACTAGAGGGGAAGCAACGTCTACTTCTTTAGAACCAAAGAAGAAGAACGAAGAATGCAAGATCAAGAATCCGCAGATCAACAATCAGTGCATGGAGAAGATATGGCTTCAACTAGTGGGAGCACTTATGAAAGTTGGAGATCTTCTAAAATGCATAATTGTGGTTCTTGTTTTCTTTGGTCTTGCTATTCTAGCAAAGATTTGGTGATGTCCTATGTATTCAATGTCATTGAAAAAGCAAAGAAATGTATTATCTTGTGTCAAATCGAAGTGTAAATTTCGGATTTGCAGGCCAGCGGGAGCGGCGCCAGATTAGACCCTGCAAAGCCGACCCGTAAAAGAGCATATTCTGCGAATATCCTTTTATACGGGTCTGTTTTGCAGGGTCTGCCCCTGCGACCGTCCGCGCCGGCCCGCAAAGCCGTTTTTCCGCGAATTGCAGACACGTTTTGCGGGTCGGCATTATGCGGGGTCTACTAGAGATGCTTTTTTTTCGAAACGGAGGCAAAGATTGCCTCATCTATTAATTAAGCAGAAGAGAATTGCCCAGTTAATTACGGAAAACCGGGCAAAAACCGGAACAACAAGGCCAAGCCCACTCCCATAGACTGAAACACATAGGGCAAAGCCCACCCTAATCGACGACAAGTCGACTTGCGGCCAGACAACGCAGCTCCGACTCTGACGGAGAACTCAGAAGAACAAAATCAGACACAGCTGGCGCCACGGAAGATCGCCGAACGGGCACCTACAGCCAGTCATCGTACACCACAGGGCCCCGCCGCCGCAGCTTCGACTCCACAGCAACAAGCAACCCGAGGCAAAACCGTGGACACGCCGGAGAAGAGCCGACTACCGCAACCATTGTCACATCGCCGACATTGCTCCCATCATCATCTTTGCCACAAGAGTCTGGTCGCCACAGAGATTCTCTCGGGGCCGCCGCCCCGACATCCACCACTCCGTCGCGCCCAGCACAATCAACCGGCACCGCCTTCCGGGGCCGCCGCCCCGACATACCACCGCTCCCCTCGAGCAGCAACGCCGCACAACCCAGCTGCCCGCAGCCCACGCTGCTCAGGGCAATCGCTCGCAGACCACGAACGTCGCACCACATCCGGGGCCGCCGCCCCGACGTAAAGTCAGACCGCCTCCTCTGAGGCGCATCGACCGAGCCGACATCCCTACCACCCAAGCGGAACAAGAATTCCACCCAACCAATGTCAAGCCAGAGCCCCACCTCATAGAGCTGCCACTCGCATTGTTCCCGAGATCGCCATCTCGACGCACAATCAGAAACCACCCGGGGCCGCTGCCCCGACGTCCACTGTCCCCGTTGACGAAGAGATCCGTGCAAATTGCCAAATGCTGACTCTCCAAGGCGATGCCTCAAACAAGGATACGACGTAGCCGCCGTCAACGCCCGCTTCGACCACCGAAGCTAGGGATTTCTCCCGGAGAGTCATGAAATGGAGCTCCACGGCAACGCCTTCAAGAAGGGGAGTGACACCATGGCGCCACCGTTGCCGGCACCGACCCAAAGTCGGGGCTAGACTTTCGCCCGGAGCTCCATCACACCTTCGGATCCGAGCAGATCCGAAGCACTGCACAGCACACCATCCCCATGGTCGACGTCCACCGGCTCCACCTCGTGATGCAGCAGCCGTCGCACCTCTCAAGCGCGCGGAACCGCCAGATCCGCGGCCTCCCCACCGACGTGCCTCTGCACGACCCCCTTGCGCTGCTGCCGCGCCTCAGCACGGCCCCTTGCGCCGCCGCCGTGCCGCTTGCACAGCCCTGCCCAGGCCATAGATCCACAGCGCACTGCGCTGGGCGTCAGATCCGCACCAGCAGAGCGACCCTGCGCCTCCGCGCGCCTGCAGCACGCCTCCAAGCGCCGCCCCCTGCGCCTCCTCGCTGGGCGAGTGCTAGCACCGTGCCCAACCCGCGAGCACCCGCTGGAGTGGCCGTCCCGCGCCGCCCCATCCAGAGGAGAAGGAAAGAGACCCCACCGCCGCCGTGCCGCGCGGGCTTTGCCCGGCAACGCCTGCCGGCGGCAGCGAGGGGAGGAGGGGTGGAGGGGTGTTACGCTCGCGGCGGCTAGGGTTAGCTCTAGCCGCTCGCGGGAGCGGCCGAGGAGGTCCGAACATAATTGGTATTCAATACTAGAGATGCTTTGAAGTATGCTTGGCAGCGGGCAGTTGCATCTTCCTTTGGGGCTCATAATCTCGGTGTGCGTACTATATACTTCCTCCGTTTCATAATGTGGTGCATATGCTCTCTCCATCCATATATATGTAGGTCCTAAGAGCCTCTACAGCCACATATCGTAAATTTGCGGCAGTGACCGGGCACACCTCAAATTTCAGTTGTTGCATCTGGACATCTCATACTCGACGCTTATATCTGTACAAAAACATGCAAAAGGAAATAGAACATACGTACTACGTCGATCCTATCTACTCCTCATCGAAGATCACGACGATCTCTGTGCCCGGCTCCGGCAGCATAGGCGGCAGCTGTAGCTCCGGCTTCTCCGCTCCAGCCTCCTCCGCCTCTATCTACGCATCGAGCTCGGCGAAGAGCGCGTCGGTCTCTGCCTGCTCCCATTGGACGAACGCCCGGTTGGCCTCCACATAGGCCTCATCCTGGATGGACTCCAGGATGGCCTGTTACTCGGCCATCTCGTCGGGCTGGGCGATGGCGAACTCCGCCTCCTCCTACTCCATGTTGGAGGCCGGCACATGCTGGTCTACATCCTCCGCCTCCTCCACCTCCTCCTACTCCTCCCCTTGTTCCTCCTCCTTCGGCTCCGGCGAGTCTGAAGACAGCCCGACAGCGATGCGAGCGCTGCGCGCGACTTCCCACGCTTGGATCTGTTGTTGGATCTCGTAGCTGCGCTCTGGCATCAGCATGGCATAGTAGGTGATCTTGCTCTGGACCATGGTGGAGTGCCAGAGCGTGGGCAAAGTGTTGGGGAACGCGGTAATTTCAAAATTTTCCTATGATCACGCAAGATTTATCTAGGTGATGCATAACAACGAGAGGGGATTGTGTGTCCACGTACCCTCGTAGAACGAAAGCGGAAGCGTTTCAATAACGCGGTCGATGTAGTCGAACTTCTTCGCGATCCAGCGATCAAGTACCGAACGTACAGCACTGATACGTCTCCAACGTATCTATAATTTATGAAGCATTCATGCTATTTTATTATCTGTTTTGCATGATTATGGGCTTTATTATACACTTTTATATTACTTTTGGGACTAACCTATTAACCGGAGGCCCAGCCCATATTGCTGTTTTATTGCCTGTTTCAGTATTTCGAAGGAAAGGAATATCAAACGGAGTCCAAACAGAATGAAACCTTCGGCAACGTGATTTTTTGGAAGATTATCATCCTGGAGACTTGGAGTTCACGTCAGAAGATACTCGAGGAGCCCAGGAGATAGGGGGAGTGCCCCCCTACTGGGCGCGCCCCCTATCTCG